TATGGTTCATGGGGTCACGAAGAGTCGGACACGACTTAACGACTAAACAACAACAACATCAGAAAGATTTAAAGTATATAAAATTCATGGTACTGAACATTGTAAGACTGTTTTCGAAACAGAATTGTGTACAGATGATGAACATGTGATCCTAAAATGTATAAAATTTTATTGAAATTTGAACAGAAGAACAAGTTAAAGAATGTATGATAAAGTGGATAACAATTTTGGATATAATGTAGATGAAACAACAGGAAAATATGTGGTTGAAAGGACAGAAATGTACACTATGTTATAATCTTACAGAGAATTTTTATAAAACGATGTACTATTGGCATATGAAACCAGAAAAATTATCTAGAATGTATGAAAGTACTTCAAATTTATGTTGGAAATGTGAACAACAAGAAGGGTCATTTTATCATGCCTGGTGGATGTGCAAAAAAGCTAGAAAAGTTTGGGTTCAAATACATACAGTGATTCCGAGGATTTTAAAGATTAATATTCAATTGAAACCAGAACTTTTCCTCTAGGGACTGATGGATAAGCAGCTGGAAAAAAGTCATGGAACATTGTTTTTATATATGATAAGTGCAGCAAGATTCTTGCACGCACAAAGATGGAAAGATTTGGCAATACCTATGACAGGGGAATGGTTGGTGAAGATGACAGAACTTGCTGAAATAGCCAAACTGACTTGTTTGATTAAAGAAAAGACACTATCTATGTATATTGGTGACTGACAACCCCTTATGGACTTTTTGCATAAAAAAGAAAAAAAATGAGCTTATGATTTATGGTTTTGATAATTAGGATAGATTATAGAAAGAAGAAAGTCATGATGTAACATTAGTGAGTGAGGCCAATTTATAATTGTACTTATAACTGCTGTAAAGAAGATTGCAAGCACTTCTTTATATCTTTTTTCTATTTTTCTGCTACTCTTTTTCTTTTTGCACCTTTAGTTTTTCTTTTCTTTTTTCCTTTTTCTCTTTTCTTTTTCAGTCTATTTTAGTTTGTATTAGTCTTATTCTTGTGTTTAAAATTTTCAATAAAATTATACAAAGGGAAGGTTAATATAATTATTAAAATGCTTTTATTGTATCTTTCATCCACAGATACCAGGAGGATGTACAAACATATAATTAAGCACTAGTGAAGGTAGAGGATCAAACATTCATAAAGCATTAGTGAAATTTGGCTAATAGGGAGGGACTTTAAGAAACAGGAATAATTCTCATAATGCTTAAATTTGTAGTAATGAGTTTTTATACCCTATTGCAATAATTTTTATTGGTGAAAACATCTGTTTTATCACTTTTTGTTGATTTTTGCTTTTATAGCCACTCCTCATTTAGCAGCTACCTCATTTAGTGACCGTACATAAATACAACAGTAATAATAATAAATCATTTTCTGACCAATGTGCACATTTATGACCAAAACTTCATGCGCCTAACAACAAAAACCTTCAGTGTAAAACTGAATAAGGTCTGACCAGTTTCAGGCAGCAGCGCCAGTGGAGGGTACTAGTCAACTAATTAAGGTCACAGAGCTGCACTTGTTAACTTGTAGTTAGCACTTTTTAGGGAAGTGCTGCACTGAAGGGAAAAGCAGATCAGGAAGAGATAGCTTGTTTAAGCAGTCTTTCCACCCTGCGAAGAGGGGGGAAAAGGAAACAAAAACAAAAACAGGCACAGGATGCTGTACAAGAGAACTTTATCTGAATGAGACGGCAGCAACCAGTGATCTTCCCAGCATCTCTCTTTCAGTCACATGTTCACTTAGCGACCATTTCTGGAGGCTGGCTGAAAACGTCCTATGACAAAACCCTGTTTGGATTCTGCACGAGCTCTAAGCTAGCCCCCAGAGACAAGAGGGAGCCCTTTTGGCAGCGGCAGCAGCTTGCAAGCTTCCCTGCCAGTTTTCCCATTGAATTCCTGGGGAAGCCAGCTGGGAAGATTGCAAACGGCGATCACATGATCGCAGGGCACTTGGCAACTGGTTGTTAAGTGCGAACCAATTGCCAAAGGCCCAGATTGCAATCACGTGACCACAGGGGTGCTCAACGGCCATAACTTCAGGAATGGGTCGTAAGTCCCTTCATTCAGTATCATCATAAATTCAAAGGTTTTCTGAACAAATGGTCGTTAAGCAAGGACTACCTGTACTGGAAAATTTGAGCAATGTATGTAGGAACCATTTATTACTTTACATTAATGAAGTTTTATAAAAGGACCCTGAATTTAGCAAAGCAAACTTCCTGTTATCCAACTCTAACATCATATTCTAAGTTCTCTTCTGGACATGGCCAGATAGCTGAGTAATACAATCAGCAATTGCACAACAGTCAATTGCACAATCAGTCACATTCCATTATGTATGTGAAAGTGCTCTTTTCTTCACCAGATTATTTGAAAGCAAATCTTTGAAAAACATACTAGCTTATTCAATTGTGCCAAACCCTAAATTTGGGGTCTAGAGTATATCTTTAATCAGACACATAGTCTATACATTATTTACAGTATTCTCTTAATGTATTGTTTACTATTTACTTTTCTTCTCTCATTGATTTTAGTTGTATTAAAAATATTTTAATTGTGTTAAATTAAACACAATTTTTTATTGTACAGCAGAGTATTTTTATAGTTCAGCAGAGATCACTTTTGACCAGAAATTGGTTATATGTCTTATACTACTCTAAGTTGTTAATGGTGAACTAGAATATATCAGCCATATAATATCTTCAATCTGCTGGTTAATTGGAGGTTGTTGACCATCCACCTGTACTCTATTGTTTATATTTTTTTTTCCCTTCCTTATTATATTTTTATCACAATGTATTTAGTGTATTTCTTTCAGGTTTATTCCTTTTTCTTGAAATAATAATAATGGCAATAACAAAATGGATAAAAAGAAAAATATACTGGTCTATTTAGAGATTCAAATAGTTAAATAAAATCTGCTCAATTACCGAGTCAGCCCATTGTCCTGGTAAATCATGCTCTCCAGCATAAGACATCCAAGCCTGATTTCTGTATGCTGTAGGTGGTGCTGGGATGAAATAACCTGTGAACCCAGGTCGGTTTGCTGCTGGGATGGCAAATACTGCTGGAACTGTATTTCCTATCAAAAAATAGGGAAGATAGTTAGTAATCAAAACACATTTTATAAATATAGAGGAACATTTTAAAGGACATCTGAGATGTTCCAAATAGAAGATCCCATTTTCTAATTGGCGATGGAGAGTCTCTTGCCAAAAGCAGATCCCGTATATTACAGCATCTGCACCTAGTGCCATGTTGCCACTGTTGTAGGACACACCATTCCAAAACAGAATACACCTGTATAAAGAAGACAGATCAGCACCGACATTGCTTTTGATACAGTGGAGACAGCAGCACTATGTTCATGCAACTAGTGGCGGTACTTGTTTATTGTCCAAATGAAATTAGCAGCGTTTAATTCATCATTTCAAGCAATCAGATTGGAAGATGCAGATTCTTGGATTTAGGCAGAGTAGAAAGAGAAGGAGATGTTGCTGGGCATGTTTCAAATAGACTTGTGAGTTTACATAAGGAGTATATGTGATATGAAAAACAAATAGATTCTAGTGTTTCTCTAAAAGCGTTGCTTCTTTTGTACAAATTATTAGCAGAAACACCGACATGGTTATTTTTCAACAGAGTATTACTGAACAATGAGCAATCACAACAGGATTAAGAGTTTCTGGAAAGCACTGTAACCATTTGTTTCAACTCTGTGAAGTATGTTTGTGTGCAAGAGTGCTTTTGTACCTTTGCAAAAGGGAGCAGAATCTTTCAAATTCTCCTGAGTGAAAATCTGTGTTTAGACAAGTTTTGAGCAAAACTGTTTTGAGTTGGATTATTGGAAAAGAGTAAGGGAATAACATTAAATATAGATGTGACTTTCTTATGTTCTGTGCTTCAGACTTTAGGTAGCTCAAATGAACCTAGTATTTAATGTTATTTAAATCTTCAACTCCATTGAAAGATCCAATTGTCTGAGTAATTTTAAATTAATATATATTGTCACTTAGTCACAACCTTGCTGTTTCCTGATGCTTTCTAGCATATCATCATGAACAGTTTACTTGTCCACAGGGATGATCTTCTTGACCAGCTGACAAATGGATTTTTCAGTGACTGTCACTGGTATCTTCTGGGACCCACTTGTCAAACTGCTGATATCACATCGCTGCTTTCAGCAAAAATGTTGCAAAATATTTTTTAAAAATGAACTCATCTTTATCTTCTGGTCAGTGAAGCACTGCTCTTACAGACTGCGGATATCAGCTGTTCACATGTAAGAGTGTATTAAATGTCACAAGTATCTACACTATCTCATCATCTTTTTTGGAACTCCAATCTTAAATAATTAAGTGTGGAAGCATTATAGAGACTTGTTTTCATGTTTTGTTCATTGCTGAAAAGAGAGTACCTCTGTTGCAAGCCCATGCTCAGGAGACAGCCAGCAGTATGTGCTGTTAGCATCTTACTTATTTATTATCTGAGTCTAAAGATATTGTTTGGTCATTGCTCTGGCATACTACTAGCACCTTTTTTGGTTGCAATTCATAGAACTTATTGGACCCTGATCCTGTCCATATAAACTAACTGAATTCAGTGGAACTTATTCTTATGTATACAAAGGCCTACAGTTTCAGACTTTCTTCCCAAGGAAGATCCCTCAAGAGTAATGTTAATTTTGAAACTGTCTCCATATGTTACCTTTGTTACAGCTATCTTCATTATGCAAAACATACCTCTCTCGTTGAAAGAATATTTCACTTCTACATTCATGTTACAGAATTTGAGTAAAATTTATTATAAGCTTCCTTTGAAAACTTGTCAAGTGAAGGACAAAATCAAGCATTAGACAGTCATTTTAAGTTCTAAGTTCAGTGTCATATTTATGACTACTATAACTTCATTTTCATTCTTTCTTCAGTTCATTAACTCATAGCATCTAGGTAAAACTTCCTGACGCCAATATGGTTCTCATAAGATCCTCTACTGAATAGTGGAACTTGTGTGTCTTGTACCTCTTACTTCCATTTAACTTTTACTTAGGGATTTACACAAATTACAACTTAACAAGTCACTTAAAACCTGCCACGATTGTTACATTATTGTCATCAGTTGCTATTTCCTTTGCAAGACCCTGTTTATTAAACAAAACTACTCTCTCCTTGTGTGTTATTGACAAATATATTTGAGTACCTCAAAACAAAACACTTCACACACACAGGATGTTAAACAGAAACAATGTATTTTAATAAGACAAAGTTCCATTTTTCCATTTCAATTTACAGCACAGTTTCCAGCCTCCTTTGTCTACAATGGGCTTCTCAAAATTGCGTAAATGTTGCTTATGGGTTTACAAGTTATAAATGGAACCAAGGATACCAACCAAGCAACCTTCATTTGGGAGAGAATATTAGAAGTTAGCCCCATATGTTTCTTGAGTTATGTCTCTTTAATGATCTCTCTGGGGTGAGACCTTGAACTCTGAATTTGAAAGGTTTCAGGAAATTATTTCTTTTGTCGATGAATACACCCCTGAATGGGCATAGCGTAAGGTATATTTAACCTTATGGGCCTCAACAACAATTCTAAAAACAGCCATTCCAATAATAGTAGTAGTAGTAGTAGTAGTAGTAGTAGTAATAATAATAATAATAATAATAATAATAATAATAAAACAGAGATATCATATTACAAACAGAGTCCCTTGAATTCATAGGTTGGGATGATTAGATGTAACACAAATAAATTATGAAATTAGAAAGTATTTTACTGCTTAAAGGCATTTCCAGTAGCAATATTTATATCACAACTGTATATTTACACCACACTTTACAATCACAGAGATGGCTTGAAACATTAAATCCAGGATAAGGTTAGTGAGGATCTGCTATCCTGCCTGGGGAAATTGTAATTTTCCCTTGAGTAGCCACAATTACCAATATGCACCTCCCAGAACTAGAATGATGCAAATCAGAAACTTCAGCAAAAAAAAGAGCAGGATTAACCTTTAATCCATGACTGGGGAGTGGGGAGAAGGGGAATAGAAACTTTACTACATCTTCTCCACCATTCTGACCTTGAGCAGAAGAACGGCGGCGAGCATACCTTCTAACCTCAAGTTAAACAAAGAAAAGCAACAGGGAATGGACAGCTGCTCTAGTGTTAATATGAAAACATCACTCAGAACGAGGACCCGTATAAGAATTCACCATTAGTACAAATGTGTAGCTTACATTTCAAACTTTTTCTCCTGAAAAAGGGAAGAACTGTGATCATGATTGTGCAGACCACTCAAACCAGACTCATGTGGCCAAGAAGAAATCTCAAAACACCAGGAGTAGTAGCAGGCAATTTTAAAATGGTAAAGCTGCCATAGATGGTTTATCCTCATACAAGCAACTGGATGAAAGTTGCTTATACTTTGGGGATTTCATGCTAACATTTTGAATCCCTGATAGTTAAGAATCACTGTAAAAGTGATGTTACAAGAAAGCATGTAAATTGGCTCAAGAGAAAGCAACCCTAATCCCTAGGCCAACTGCAGGGTATTACCTGTTCAATCCAGAATAAATGGCTCAATGACCGTTTATTCATCCAATGTTTCCTAATAGGGCTAGAGATCAAGATGCAGCTCATTGCCTTTCACAGATTCTTTTTTTTTGAGGTAGTCAGAATGGACAGAGAATCCCAAACTACTTCTTGTACTAAATGATGCCAGTTGAACTGCTTATCTTTATTTCGGTGTGCACGTTCTTGTTATTTTTGGTGATTTCAAAAAAGTGTGATGACCTTCTGGTCTGATGAAAACACACATATATTCTTGCAAGTTCCAATTATAAATGAAACCAGATAATTAAAGGATACTTCTTGAAACCCCTTGTCTGTCTTAGAAGCTCTACAGGATCTAGTGGGATGGGACTCTAGGATTGGAATAATTCCTCTGAATATTACAGCTCCATGATTTCTTGAAAGCTACATGCACTACCATAGTGCTTCCCTCTGGTTTTTTTTTAAAAAGCTGAGAACTGCCTTGGTATTACAAATTCATATACATGAAAATCTTTAACCCAACTTTCAAAACATCAGAAATGAGTATGTTAAAATGGAAATATTAGCCAATTATCTTCCAACCACCCCATCCCTGTTAGCTTCCAGTATTCATTTAAACTATGCTCAAGCTACAAAGTTTCCATAGGAAAAAAATTCCTGTTGAAAACCAACACTGATTGAAATTACAATTTTCTCTATTTTGATGTTTTTATATGAAATATGTGTCTAAAGAACCCAAGTCAACGTATGAATCAGTGTATGGATGTGGTGGAAGCAAGGATGGTTTTGCAAAGATCAAAAGGTATAATAAATTAGGTTAAATTATAGTTTATTTTCTTTTTTTATCTTGTGAATTTAATTTCTTTGGCTTACTATTTCTCCTTTTCTGTGTTCTGCTTACCCTGAAAGAAAATAGTATGATGACTATGTCAGCATGCCTAGTGCTCAAATAGAAGGCAGTGTAAAATATCTCTGGGATTCTCAAAATAAGCCTCTTTTTTATTCCCTTTTTAGGGGCATGTTAACCTTATTCATTATAAACCAACACTGATAAAGTGGAATTTGGTATAAACATTTAGAGGGCCATTGTATTTCTTCCCAGAAAATAAGAAGCATAGAATATTTTTGCAAATTTGAAGTAATGCTGAAATATCTACATACTTTTTTTAAAAAATAATTGTTCCTAAGGAAACTGGCAAAACTCAATACAGGTAGTCCTCATTTAGCGACTGCCTCATTTAATGACCATTCGCAGTTATGATGGTGATGAAGAAGTAACTTTACAACCAATCCTTACATTTATGACCTTCGCAGGTCTATAAAGCAAAGGAAAGCTGAATGAAGATAATAAGCACAGTCACAGTTTCACTTAGTGATTGCTTCATTTAATGACCGAGTTGCTGGTCATTAATTGTGGTGGCTAAATGGGAACTACCTGCATAATGAAAGATTTTTCAAATGTCCAGGAGTCAGTAAGGTTGCTATTCAACTCAATTAAATCTGAGCTTTAATTTGAGTTGGAAGCAAATTTATTCATGCTTGGAATATGCTCACTAAAATCAAATGGAGCATATTAGTAATGACTAACTTAAGTTCTCTGATTTCAGTAGGTCTACTTGAAACATTACTCGTTCATCATATCAGTTCTTTTCTCCCATAAAACTCTAGGTGTCAACATTCTACCTTAGTGACAATACCTTACATTCTATCTTTTCCAGACAGGGGTAAAAAAAATCTCAATTTGTTCTATTATCAGCAAACTACTGACAATATATAAATATGTCATGGCAGTAATACTTTACAAATGACTCACACACAGATACCTCTGCGTCAAAAATATCCATTTTGAAGAATCAATCTTGAAATTCTAAACTGACCAACATTTAAATATTTAAACAAGCATGTAATATGCATTATTCTACACTATTTTTAAAAACAAACCAAAACCAAGCAGTTACTAGCACATGGTTTCTGAAATATTGTGTGACATTCAAAGAGGAATATTCTGGGTTGAGTCACCTAGCTTTCAGGCAGTAAAAATTAGAACTGAGAATAAAGTAGCAAGAGGAAAAGAAGGAGCTGAATGGGCAAATTATTTTAGAGGTTGGGATAAAGTGATATATCCTAAAATGTAGATTTAAAATTATTGTGCTAGGCAACTAGGTAGTGTCTAAATCTGTAACAGTTTTGTACAATCCCGTTACAGATCAGTTCCAGAAATGTTCAGCTAGAGACCACTTTTCAAAAGCAACCTATGACATGTTACCTATGGCAGTAGACTGCCCAGAAGGACTATATCTGATGAATGTCTATTTCAATAAAGAAAAAAGCCTTCAAAGCTAATGAGACCCGTGCATAAAAGAGCACACAAGCATTAAACATCTCTTGACAACATGCAAACTGTGCCGAGTGGCCCCACTGAGACTATTTACATGCCTAAAGTTAAGTAAAATTCTTCAATGAGCCACTGGATCATAACCTAAGGCAATATAGTGAAACTTCTTTCAAGCCCTTTATTCTTAAAGATGTAAAGGTGGGGGAGGGAGGGAGAGAGAGAGAGAGAGAGAGAGAGAGGGAAAGAGAGGGAAAGGAAGGAAGGAAGGAAGGAAGGAAGGAAGG